CTGACTTCCGGGTCACCACCTTTGTGTACAAGCTCAGGTCCTGTCTACTGACGCTGCCGGGTTCAAGAGACCCACCTGCCCATTATGGCCCCCAAAGAATGGCCAGATCTCAGCCCAGAGCTCCTAGAGGCCCTCTGTGATTTGGAGGAGCAAGCAGGGATGGAGGAATTGGTGGTGGTTAGTTTTGCAACATTTTTATTTTTTTTTCACGGGCAAGTTTGGTTTGCCTCATTCCTGTACTAGTTTGGGGGGAAGGAACTGAAAAAAAAGTTTGTACTAAAATCTGTGCCGTGCACGTCACTCCAAACATATGCCTTTCTATTTGCAAGTTCTTCTAAACAATTTTCTCCAGTGTGTTTTGGTATCTTACTTTCATGAATGCATGCACTTTTGAGAAAACATTTCCCTTATACACTCTTCTTAAGACTAAATTGACAAACTGCATTACAAAATTCAGAAAAGTGGGAAGCTCAAGTTTTTAATTCAAGCATTGGCTTGAAAACATGAACTTAAATAAGTCCACACTGATATACAAACTAAACAAAATTTCCATCATCTGTACTTCCAAGGCGTGCATTTTTTGTCACACACCCAGGTTTCCAAATAGGTGTGTGCATGTACGTGTGCTTTGGACAGCTGTAATTATTCTGCATGTACATGAAACAGTTGCTATAAACACTGCCATGAGAAAACACGCCTACACAACCTTTCAATGTAAATACAACAAGAGAGCAATTTTAATGGAGGGTGGCATTTTTCCAAGAGTAAGCACCACATTTCTCTACTTTCCAGTTTGATCCCCAAAACTGTAGGGGCACACTTGAGACAATTGGGAGCAACTGGGATCTCCTGCACTTAATCCTTCCAATCCAGAGCTCTATACAAAACTCAGATGGAGTATCTAGAGAAGACTTGGCGCCCAAAGGCACATGCTCACCAAGACCAGTTCTTCCCCTTCTCCACATCTCACCATCATATCTTCTTTAAAGTGTGAGAGAACCTTCCTCTGCAGTCTTGGTATTGCCCAGGGAAGCTTGGTGAGGAGAGGACTACCTTAGATGAGATGAAGTGCTCCTGACATCAGTTGTCCTCAGGCACCAATTTCAAGTTCAGGAGCAACAAGTATCAACTCCCAACTGATCAGAGAAAGAGAAGACCTTGCTATAGATGTTCTCATGACCTCTTTTTTGCAGAATGGGGGAACTACTGCCATTGTTACTCTTTTTGTCTTTGGCCAACGGATGACCCGTAGCAGTCTTCTGCTCCACAGGTCATTCCTAAGAGGAAGGGGGCAAGGGCTTCTCATGCTGTCTCCAGGTTGGCTCCTTAATCCAGCACGTGACAGCCACTGCAGACCATGATCTGAATCAGGATCCATCCACACTTTTTGCTTACAGAAGGGATTCATGATGCCATCATGGCAATAAGCTTTCGGATGTTACCCAGTAAGCGTTTAGACAAGCTGCTGAAGGTAAAGAATTCATCATAACCCCAACTCTCCAGATACCAAACCATAATTCCCTTCCTTCCAGCTCTGCATCTCCACTGTCTCTTTTCTCCTCCCAAGGGAAATGACTGGAACAGGTTCACTCCCGTTTTGTACAGATTTTGCCTTTCTTCTTACGTAAAATGTGTAGTACTGCTGTTCTGGTCTAGGTTAGGAGAGAATCCTTCCTGCCCAACGTATGAAAACTGACATATAAGAAGGAATTACAGGGATCCATCAGGTGACCCAAAGGAGAGTGGTACGATTCATTAACCAAAATCCTTGCTTGTCATTCTCACTGTGATGCTCACTTGTGTCCTTCGGAAGACCCAGCCACGGGAATGCTTGGAGAAGGAAGGGAATCTGGAGCTTAGCCCGGAACAGCTGGTTGCAGAAGGGTGCTCACCTCACCTGCGCCTATGCACAAGGACTGGCACACTCAGGTGATTTCATTCTAGCAGCCTTAAAAGTACAACAGGCCACGGGGCAATCAGGGCTATACTGCTTTACCTTGTTATTTAATGGATGGCTTTATTGCTTGAAAATTAATCTTAAAGTATACCTTGCAAATGCCCGATTAGCTGATGTGCATCCAAAATTGATTGGAAAAGAACCGGCTTCTTTAACCTCAGGATTTTACAAATGCTGTACGCACATTGCACCACCAACAGACCAGAGGCTCCTCCACGTAGGGAGCCTACTTCTAATTAAACAAGTCATGAATTTCTCAGCGCGCCCCCCCCTCCCCGGAAAAAAAGCCGTCCAAAAAAATCTATTGTTGGAGCATTAAGAGGCGGCCTTCATTCAGCCAGTTCTGCCTAAGCTTATCTTGCGAGGGGCCGCGCAGCTTGGGATGAAAAAGTCCAAGGTGGAGCTGGTGCTTTTGTAAACAACGTGGCTGGAATTTAACGTGGCTGTTTTCGAGCATCAGGGCTCCTCCTCCCTCCCACCCGAGCAGGAAGGGAAAAAACATAATCATCTTTCATGATGACAAACTTGGCTCAGCACTCACTTTACATACTGTACCCTCAAAGCAGGCCGGCAGCCAGCCAGCAGCTGGCA